GGCGTCGACGTCGACCAACTGGAGGAAAGGCTGGCTCTGCGATCCGGAGAGTTGTACTCTGTGCGATAAGTGCGGGTAATTCAGCGCTCTTGTTTTCTGTATGGCAATTTTGCAATATGTCAAGGAATTGTTCGGACAGTTACGCTTTCTGGAGTTTTTATTTTTCGTTTTGTTGTTTTAGTTTTTCAATTTTAACACTAACCAGGGAAATGTGGTATCATGTAAAAAACTTCTGGGTTCTTACGTCGTACTGATATGTCCATGTTATTTGTAGTGGGTTTTGATTATCGAAAATTCAGTTGTCCTTTTCCTGCGTAAATTTTGTTTGGCTTGCAGGGGAAAATGTCGCTAGAAGCTATCATTCACAGTTATTGAATATTAATATTAATCTAACAAGAATAATTATTGAAATTATTGCCCCCTGCCCATCCAATTGCCAAATTGATTCTCTTCTGCGTTCTCCATCATAGAAAAAGCATAAAAAAAGCAGGGGAAGCTAAGTAGGTAGCTCTTTCCTCTTAGGATAGCTCGAAACTATTTAAAGTTTTCATTTGGTAATACATACTCAATTTCAATAACATGTCATAACAAATTTAATTATACTTTATTATCTTTCTGTGATATGCTTTATTATCATGTCATCTTCATCGCGGTGACCCTTGGAATTTTTTTTTCACTACTAATTTCACTACTCTTAACATAAGTCTCCCACACAGCAGTGCACATAATGCTTACATCTTTTTCATTTGTAATGAGGCATGCCACCATGTCATTCCACAATTGTAACATATAATTTTGTGTTTGTGTTTGGTATCTACTGCAGTTCTGTGTTTGAGCAATCAGCTTTCTGTGAGGTGTACCACTCAAAGGAGTCTGGTTGGAGGAACTGTACTTCATGCAGCAAGGTGAGCCAATAATCTAGGAAAGCTTATAACATTTTCCTAGTCATTACCAATATCAATGTTGCCTTCTATGATCTAAAGTTGTGTTTAGTTTAACTATATTCTATGCCCTTTCTATTTCTAGATTTTAGCTATTTAATATAAGTTTGTCATAAATCATGCAATTTATGCATAACTGAACCAAGTCACTCATATCTTCAATTTCAATGGTAGATTTGTGTTTTTCACTTGTCAAGAGAGTAATTACCAAAAAAAAAAACCACTTGAATTGGACATGGAAAATTGGAATTAGAATATTCTTTTCATAATCTTATCTCATTTTTATTGTGTTTTATTCTTATTATATAAAATGAAAATTTGAACTGAACTTAAAACTTATGATCTAATTGTTTTTGGTATTGGTGGCAGCGACTACATTGTGGTTGCATTGTTTCAAGAGTTTTGATTGAGATTCTTGACAGTGGAGGCGTGAACTGTATAAACTGTGCAAAGAAATCAGGACTCGCCCCTGTAAGATCTATCTACATATCTGTTGCTTCTCCCAGTGAATGTGAACTATTGAGAAATATTGATGAATATGCGTTTCGAAGCAATCAATTTCTATGCATTTGAAGTAGGATAATGTTTTCCCTTCCCTCTTATCGTAGTATAAGTGTTAGAGTGCATAATCAACTTGTGGATTGCACAAATCCTTACTTACAGATAGACTCCCATCCATATGCCTTGTTGCCTTTTCCAATGAAGTTGCATTCATCATACTGTCTCCTGGAAGTACATCTAAAGGTTCAAATCCCTACTAATGCTCCTAGAGGTGCATATCGTGGTTCCTGTTAAATCTATGTGCTTAATTTGATAATTGGATTGAGTAACAGCTCCACTTACAAATGACAAAAATACTACTGTTGCTTTAGGCATACTCACATGACGTACATTAATGCGGGCATGACCAAAAAAGATTAGGATATTACTGTAAATCATCCAACCAACTTCAATTCCTTTACTCATTACCATCTTAAAAGATTTAATGAAACCCTTATCACTTAGAGGGTACTTGAAATTGCTTATGTGGTTCTTGTAAGCATCATTGAAGGCTTCCTTTTTATCTCCACTTGGTGACAGAAAAAAGAAGGTATTTATTTAGGTTCTTAATAGCGACTATAAAAAGATAGAAAATAAGCATCTTATTCTTAACTTCTTATTTTATTATTTTATCTAACTAATTATTTCAAAAAAATTATTTTATCTAACTAATAGACTTAACACCCGCTTGACACTAAATTAAAAATTAACTATGTATCCATAATAACGAAAACTACAAAAACTTTGTAATCAATTTAATTTTTATTATTTTTATATAAAGATGACTGCTTATTTTTTTGCAAGCACTTTGTATAAATGCATAGCTGCATCTTTTATAAATAAGAATTTATATTCTTTAAGTGATTTAAAGCACCCAGGTGCTTTAAGCACATTTCTTTCAACAATCACAAATCCTCTTGGTTTTTGACTTCTTGGAAACACATTAGCAAATGAATTAGCAATTATTTTTCTAATTTCTTTAGTACCTTTGATGGTTCCTATACTTATCATGTTCCTTGGATTATTTACAAGCAGCATTTGAGCCCTTTTCTTTTGCAACTTTAGCCACCACTTGCATAGGTGAATCTTTGGAGGCTCGTCATTGACTAGCTTTGAATTGCCTTTTGGGTGACATAGAAATTATCAAGCTTGCAATAAATATAATAAACTGAAAAGCATCTTTTCTTTCATGTCTCTCATATTGCTCTTCCACCATATTCTATTTCCAGGATATTCACTCACGAAAATTTATTATATATTCAAGCAGACGGCTCTTGATGATCAACCTAATGGATTCGGTTTGCTGAAAGTTGATAATGCCTGTGCATCACAAGTTACTGCAACAGATGGCCAACCCGGTGGTGGTAGTGTTGACAAAATAAATCTTCTGCAGTTGAGCAGCAGTACAGAGAAGTTGGGCTTAAACACTTGCTCCACTTTCAGAATGATGATGAAGAACAGTCTTTGTGCAGATGAAGCAAGAGGAAGTTTTACATGCTTCAGGAGAACCTGGAACTACGTGTTTCTCAAATTTTCAGGAAACGTGCAATGGATTCTCTCAAGCTGCCAAACCAGACATTAGCAAAGCAAGTACAGGGTCAAGAGATGTCTATAAGCCACAACCACAGACAAACTTGAGTATCACACTTGGTACTCGTGAAAATCCAAGTCACCTTAACAGTGCTGTTGTTGATGAAAGGGGTAAGATGTTGTCCACCTTCCAGCAGGTGTCCAGGTCTTGCCATCTTCTTCCGAAGCCTCCAAGGTCAGCCCTTGGGGCAGGTTTAGAAGCAAATTCAAGCATGGGTTCACAGATACGTGTTGCTAGGCCTCCTGCCGAAGGTCGAGGGAGGAATCAGTTGCTTCCTCGCTATTGGCCAAGGATTACAGATCAAGAACTACAGCAATTATCTGGGGAGTATCCTTAATTGTGTCTTTATATGTTTGTTATTAGATTCATGCAGGAATATGCATTAACTGGTATTATAGTGTTAATGCATATCTTCTGAATTCAAGAGTGATTCTTAATCCTATAATTCTCAGTTCAAATTCCACTATTGTTCCATTATTTGAGAAAGTTCTAAGTGCTAGTGATGCTGGTCGCATTGGTCGACTGGTTCTCCCAAAAGCTTGTGCAGAAGTAAGTATGATGCATTTATTTTAGTTTTTCAGTAATTAATCAGTGAGTCCTTTTGCGGATTCTTTTTATACTTTGAAATTAAACAATTATGCAGGCCTATTTTCCTCCTATCTCTCAACCAGAGGGCCTCCCTCTTAGGATTCAAGACATAAAGGGAAAAGAATGGGTGTTTCAGTTCAGATTTTGGCCTAATAATAACAGCAGAATGTATGTTTTGGAGGGTGTGACACCCTGCATACAATCTATGCAGTTGCAAGCCGGTGATACTGGTATTCCAAAATTATTTTAAGTCAATAGAATTATTAATTGGATGCTAGTTTTATCTTATTTTGTTGTGTTAACTGTTAATAAAGCTTACTGTTTAAGCATTTTGTTCTTCATTGTAAGCTCTAGTGGAAGTGCATACAATCTGTAAAATCTTCAGGAGGTTATGACACCCTGTGTATGATCCATGAAGTTGCAAGCTGGTGATACTGGCATCTTTAAAATTAATTTGAAGAATAGTATTTTTACATTTGACACTAGTTTTACCTTCTAGTGATATGTTGAACTGCAAATAAAACTTACTTTCTAAAAAGTTTGTTGCAGTCACTGTAAGCTTTAGCAGGAAGTGGTCATTTTATGTCATGTATGGAGCTTGGTACATGTCTCAATTTATGTTGCATTGTTAAGCCTCATGTCTCATGTGTACTTGTCATGTACTAGTTTCCATACCCATGTTTCATATATTTGTTCAACGAGACACCCTTTTCATGTCTTAAGTCGGATTCTTCTCTTTCTTTCAAGAAAAAAACATTATTTGTTTAGTTTTTCAAGATGTAGCTGTTTATCATTCTAATGGATATAGGGAATGTTTCATAACATGCTTCAGTGAAAAGGTTTTAGAAAATTTGAATCTAATCAAAGCACTTTCTATTAATCTAATAAATGAGAGACAAATACTTTCAACTGTAATAAATTTTATTAATTTCTGAAAAGCCATGTACAAAATTTTGTGGACCCAATTGGCATATTTCCTTCTAAATACAGAATTCCTGAACAAAATCTCAAATATGTTCACATAAACACAATAGATGGCCCACAAAGCGTCATTGTCCACCGTCATACTCAACTTATCTATAATATGCATATAATATGTATTTTGATTCAATTTTGTTATTTTGTTGTGAGAGTTAGAAGCATATTTAGTTAACTTCCCAAGCCTTATTTCTTCTGCAGTAACATTTAGCCGCATGGATCCTGAAGGAAAGCTTGTTATGGGATTTCGGAAAGCAACAAACTCTATTACAGTGCAGGTAAAAGCCTCCGTCAGTTTTATTATTAGTAGACATGACCGTATGATATTAAGCCCTATAAATTATCAAATAAGCAGGACACGCAACCATCTGCCACTCCTAGTGTGGCTCATTCAAGTGAAAGTTTCTTTTCGGGTGTTTTTGAGAACCTGCCTATAACAAGTGGTTACTCTGGCCTTCTTCAGTCCTTGAAGGGAAGCACTGATGTCCACCTAAGCACACTGTCCAAACATTTGAATTCAGCTAATGTTGATATTAGCTGGAATAAATCAGGGAAGCATGAAGACATAACAAGAGAGAACTTGCTGCTGCCATCAATGCTGATTCCAGAAAGAAAACGAACTCGAAACATTGGATCCAAAAGTAAAAGGCTGCTTATAGATAACCTAGATTCTCTAGAACTAAAGCTTACATGGGAAGAGGCACAGGACTTGCTTCGGCCACCTCCAAGTTCTAAACCAAGCATTATCACAATAGAAGATCACGATTTTGAAGAATATGAAGTGAGTAATTTTACTGAAGTTCTGCATTAATCTTTGAAACCTCTCTCTTATCACCTTGGTTTTCTTTTTTCTTTTATATTTTTTAATTTCTCTGTCATAATTAGTACTTCGAAAATTTGCATGATGAGCTTCATCTGGCTATTAACCAAAACACATTATTTTTATGCTGATTACCATAAATTGTTCACACAGGAACCTCCAGTTTTTGGGAAGAGGAGCATTTTTGTTGTACGATCAACTGGGTGAGGAATTTAGCAGCTTATATATGTATTGTGATTTTTTAGTTTTAAGCATTTAAAATTAGCATCCAATAAGGGAAAGGGAAAATACCAACAATTCAAGGAAACTGGTTCCGGGACATTCTTCTGCAGGAGCTGAAAGCATTTTTTGTA